AAAATATATAACCAATAACCTTTTCAAGGGCATCAGTGTTTCAAGTATTCAGTAACACTCACTGTAAAAAGCCAAGTACTGGAAACAAATTAAGCGGAATGCCTGCTTAATTTGATTTGGGTTTACTAACAGATTACCTGACACGAGGAATTTTACACAACAGCAAACAAAACCACCTCTTTTCTTTATAAACATAGCATCATTGAAAACATGGAAGAATCAATGTCTTAAACTTTTTTGAATCATCTGAATGTATGAGTTCCATGCAACAGAAGGGCATTTTCTATTTCTTGCTTCTAAAGAGTCTTGTCATCTGATGCATTAAGACCTGTCTCAGGAATTTATATCTTCCTAAAAGGGCAGTGAACCAAGAATCATTCTTTGCAAGAGCTTTAGATCCACTCTATTATGCTTGGCATTAAAAAAGAAAAAGAAACCACAGGTCAGTGACTTCTTGTACGTACTAAGTTGGTTCCTGAGGGTTTTATGGCTACTACTGTATCAGACAAGGAAAACAATAGACCAGCTCCTGCCTAAAGCACTAATTTCCCTTACTTCACAAATTTTAGATGGTCTATCTGTAGAGTCACTTCTAGCCACTCTAATGGTCTTTCCAACAGGAACTGAGTGAAATCCATTGTGGTATTACTTATATTTTCCATAAATATATTTTCATTCCATCTGATGGATTTTATGAGAAGAACTGCATGCCAACACATTTCATAATCCAACATGTGGAAAAAATTACTACTTATATTTCATTATCTATGCTATACATTCAATGCATACATGTTTTCTAAATTAGCTAACTGGTATTTACATGAACTCCACAAGGGATGGAAGGGAAATGAAACATTAAATAATTGAATGGAACCTATTAAGTTTTTAGCTGGGTCAGCTTGCATGATCTAGAAACTGGAAAATAAGGCTTAATAATGACAAGACAGAATAAAATACTTGCAGCTGTGTACTAAGAATTAACAAGGGAAGTATTTCCTAAGCTCAGGTCCTTACAAGAGGAACAGCATACTTCAAGTATGGGATATGATGGCTAAAACAAACATCTGTATAGTAATACAAGGGGACATTTATTGTTTTTCCTCTCTGTCTTGACAATTACAGAAAGTACACCTCTAACAACATCCCGAAAGTGCACTCACATAAAAATAGCCAAATGTCTTTGGTGTGTGCGGAATGGATATGTTTTGCATTTACTTACATTTCTTTTAGTGGGACAGCACTACTGCACTCAAAGAATCAATTTCTCTCCTAAATTTTATTTTCTAGGCATCATAGTGCTATAAGCATCATAAAACATTTTTCCTGAACTCATTCCAAAAGCTTTTATATGTACTACTTCTTTTTTCTTCTTTTTTGGGGGTGTGTTTGTTATTATAGGTTCTGCCTTTGCACGAAAACAGTGAATGATGTTATAAGAGACTCAATTGGAAAATGATTGATGAATATTGTGTAGAGGAGAAGACTGCTTTTATAACTTAATGGCTCTTTTGTTTTATACTGTACCAAAGCTCACTGTAGGGAAGTCTTTCCAAGTTCACTAAAGTAAAAAACCATTAAAACAAGTGAACATACGATCATATTGCAAGAAATAAGGAATGGTGGATAACATCAGGCGGCTGTGATGAAAACTGTATTCACAAGGAGTGGAACAATTTTTGAATCAATGCATTTGAATCAATTTTTGAATCAACTACTAATCAAGACCCATTTAGTCCATGATCCTGAATATCTGCATTGGTGAAGCTACTCAATGCTGATACCACCTTATGGTTTCAACTGTGGTACTGGTGCTGCAGTATCTCTTCTACATCCTGAGCACTTTTGCTATCTCTGCAAAACTAGATTTGCCTAAGCATGGCAATCTTTGATACAAAACTTGCTGATATGATAGCCCAAGGAGGCTTCTCTGCATATCCTCCATTTCACAGAAAACCAGGACGCATGAAGCCAAGCAACACCAGAGTGTGATCGAGATGGCAAAAATTATTAATAAGGAACACAGAAACCAGGAGAGGCTACAGCAGTTTGCTTTGGCCTGAGTCTACTGTGAAACACAAGACTTCCCTTCCTCTTCCCCCTGCTGAGTTCATTGAGCATAAACTACTTTTGTAGCTTAAATTGTTAGCAGCAACTAAAGTAAGCTGGAGCAATAAAAGAAAGTGAAAGAAACTAGGACATTATAAATGCATCTTTAAAAATGGTCTATCAGATTATTCTGGACGGTTCCTGCCAAATTGGGGTATGTTTTGTTGCCTACAGAATGTGTGTGCATGTGCCTTTAAGTTGTCTGTCAACTTACACCAGACCAGCCCCATTAATTTTACAGGGTTTTCTTAGACAAGGAATACTCAGAGGTTGTTTTGCCAATTTCTTCCTCTGAAATATAGCCTACAGCACTTGATATTCATTGGTGATCTTCCATCCAAGTATTAACCATGGCAGACTCTGCATAGCTTTCAAAGTCATAGAGGATCTGGTGCCTTCAGGGTATTTAGAGACTGACTTCTTATTAAAAACAGGCCACTAACTCTAATAACAAAAGGTAAGTCTCGGTTCGTACATATAGGACTATGGCTAAATTCGGCAATGAGCTCCAAACAGTTTCCACTTCCAGTAACCATGCTTATTCCAATAGCAGCAATCCAAAACTACTTATTCAAGCTGTATTCTCTATTCGGTGTTTTGTGTTCCTAAGGACAATTTCTCTCACAATAACTGTTCTTAGCATAGGACGTTATCACACTGGCCCTAAAGCAGCGTCATTTCAGCGTC